TTTAACTTAAACACACGCTATAATTCACAACGATTCACTCACTTTACTTACGTTGCCTACCGCCCGCTTGACTCGATTATCCGTGTCTATATCTTCAATCTCTCTATCTGCAACTATTCTTATATACAATAAAAGCGCACATCGAGATTGCACTCGCCTCTTCGTGAATCTTCTAGATACTCATCACGTGTTAACAGCGTCACGTGACTTCCGCTGTCCTAACAATATTTTGATTTACTTTCACTTGAGAAAAGAATGGTGAACGGTGATCTTCTTGAAGCTTACAACATTATTCAGGTGATACATAGAATAAAGTCAGTTAATTTCTTTTGCTTTATTCTGAAGATAATAGGACGAAAAAAAATACAAGTTTAAGATTTGAATAAATAACAGGCTAGAGGTTCCAGTTAAGATGGTTATATTTTCAAACAGGGTTATTTACTTTATCGAATGAGCTATCGTTAGCACGGCCACCAGAGGTTTCCTGGGCCACAGAGAAAGGTTTGTACGTGGTCTCTCCTTAATCACCCCCCCCCCCCCTCAATGTTTTCTTCAGGATTCCCTTCAGAGCAGTGGGCCCAGAAAAAAAAATATCTGGCATCTCAAGCCCCTCGTCAGTAAGGTCAGCATTTTACAAGTATTTAAGGGGGATAGTTTCCTGAATAATTTAGGGTGGGTATAAAATTTTACTTTTCTCTTGGATGAGCGTGGTCAAGGACAGTTTTTAAAGAACCAAATGGTCCCTTGTTATTTGTTAATTCAGCTAATACAGTAAACCAGTTACGCGAAACGTTCGATAGTTGCCATTCAATAATTTCGTGAACTCGAAAATACAAAAATGTCACCTCTAGCAGTAAGGAAATTCTGATTTTAATAATTACAACGTTTCGACTCATAGTATCGGGTCATCATCAAGTAACAATTACATTCAATAAAGCAGTTGAATTTCAGATATGCTCGTGATGATGAGTAAAAGTTGCTGTTATTCTATTTTTGAATTAATTAATTTGCATGTTCCTCACCAAACACTAATTTCGCTGTTCAAAAAAAAAAAAAAAATGTATAACGCGACCTCTCTTGGTGTTATCAAAATTTCGTGTAAATAAGTCATCAAAGTTATCTGATTAGATTCATGTAAATAATAAAATTCTTAAAAACTTGCTAGAAAATTTGTATTTCTTCATTCCTTACTGGTTTAAGTATGTTTAAGTGCAATATTATATTTCTGTCATTGTCTATTATGATACTCTTGTCAATAATACTAATTTGGGTTCATATATGTTAACTGTAGTTTTCTTTTTCGTTATCCCACACAGAGACAGAGTGAGAGGTGAAAAAAAAATAATTTTACGTCTAGCCGGTTACACATTATAGATCGGATGCGCAATGCTTTAGTAATAGTTGATTGGTTGGTTTTGAGGTTCATGAATCTAGGTAGTACGTCTAGTAAAGCACATCATTGATTTCCTATAGGTGTGGTTAGAAGAAAGTAGGGCGCTAATAATTTCGTTATTATCGTTTTATTTTTCGTCGTAAGTAGCATTCACTAATTATTTTTCATTTAGTTTTTACTTTTGTCATTATTTTACCAGAGAATAGATGGGATAATGTTTATAATCTATTGATAACCTTAGAATGAATCACCGAATTGGCGTGACACACCCTGAAACGCCATATCACAATGGAGAATCACGAGCCCCCTTCGAGCAAATATTCTTTTGCCGCCTTTTCATAAGCACAAAGCAGCCAGAAATTGAACCTCACGGTTGTGTTGGATCTTTGGTACTATTAGTCTTGGTTAGGTAAAGTATTGGTTGAAAAAACGTTTAAAATATCTTAAATTTACAGTTTAAAGATAACGTTGCTAGGTTAATAACAGTATTTAAGTCCAAAGTTGGATTATATTATCCGTGATAAGATTTATATACCGATTAAAAGTTATATATATGTATTCATTGTGATTTGGTCACTGTAGTGTAACTTGTAAAAGTTAAAGCGTAAATTGTTAATACTTATCAAGGTACAGTTTAAGCTATGTAACGTTATTAGTAATATTATTAATCTTATAAGTATGGAGATAATTTTTAAGCTTAAGTTTCTAACTTCAAAGACGAAACTTTTACATTAAACTTAAAACTTTTAAAGATTAAGCCTTGTGACTTTTCTGTAACAGTGCAAGATGCAATTACTAGTTTTAAAAGATAACGAAACGATTCTCTTTTTTTTTTCAGTTTTTTCAGCACCAAACTATGTAATTCGTATTTAAGTTTAGACATAATTTCAACTACGTAAAACATCTTGAGATTTAAAAGTTCCGAAACAGTTCTGAATAACTCAAAATGTTCATTCATTATCACAAACTAAGTCTCAAGCAAGTTAGATATGGTAGTGGTAGACTAGAAATAGAATTTAGAAATTGTGACCTTTAGGCTTCACAAAATAAGAGTTATAGTACTTTTACCTAACTTTAATTTACACCCCCATTTTATACTAACGTTACTCTATTTCACCGTCTTATTATTTTTCTCTGTCGATTCACATATCTTAAATTTATCTCATGGCTATTTTATGATTAAATTTAATAATGCTGGTGAAGGTATTACTTTCTGTAAATAAGAACTTGCAGGAGTTTTTAAAATTTGGTGTGATGGTTTATCCTCCCCCCCCCCTTCCCACTCAATTAGTTTTTAGTGTAACCATTTAAGTTATAGCTAATCATTTTAGTAATTAACTTAACGTTTTGGAACAACATGGAACCTATTGGTCCACATTCTAAACGAAGCTAAATCTATTAATAAATAAATTTTAAAAAAATATCTTGAAGCCAGCCCTTATCATTCATATACTTATCGAGCTTTCTCTTAAACTCCCTTAACTTTACTGCTTCCACAACAACCAAAGGTAACTCATTC